AAAAAAAAAAAAAAAAGACATTAGACAGTCTGGCAGAAGGTTCCAATCATTCAAGACTGCTTTTGACTTTTACCACATGGACCCTTCTATGATACAGGCACTGAAACTAAAGCAAACGATGGAAGAAAGATTGGTACCGTATTTTTAGATAAATGATAAAGCAAAAACAGAAATTGTCATGTATTTCTGTAGTTACGCCGTTGAGTGCCAGCCCCTCCTGCCTCCCCTTGCACCTCTTCTGCCTCTGCCGACCAGAGACAGCAGGACCAACCCCTTGTCGTCCTCCTCAGCCTACTCAACGTGAAGATGAGGATGAAGGCCTCTGTGATGATCCACTTCCCCTTCATGAACATTAAATAACCGTCATGCATACAGTTAATACACTTCCGGTTGGGTATGTGGGAGTTGTCTTCATGGAGAATCTAATAACTAGGGCAAGAACTGTATCAATAGCTGTTCATGTTGTCGGTAAGGCTTCTAGTCAACAGCAGGCTATTAGTTAAATTTTGGGGGAGTCAAAAGTTTTATGTGGATTTTGGACTATGCGGGGGTCAGTGCCTCTAACCCCCACTTTGTTCAAGGATCAGTTATACACTGAACTTGAAAAGCTGTCCTTAGATAGTGTTGCCCCCAACAAAAGGAGAGAAAACAAAACAACTATTTAAAATCGTTAGAAGAAGCAAAGGTCTCTATTTTATGAGTTGAAGTTACCACTTGACTTCCTCAGCCTTTTCTGTGGGTTTGGTGTTCTAGGCAGTTAAGTTACCCATGTCTGTGGGAAAGAACACTCTTCCCTTTTGTCCTCACTTTCCTCAGTGTGTTTCTATGACTGTAAAGGTAAATACCATGCCTGGCTGTCCTGGTGATCTGCACATACGGGTTCTTAGCACAGACGTGCACATGCACACGGCTCATGTTTCCATTGCCTCGAGCAGCTCACGCCCTGGGCGCCGTGCTGTGGTTTTCCGCTGTGGTTGCCCACGTTTGTTTGCTTTTCCTAAGTTACTCCTGCTCAGGGAACTCTCCACTGCAGCAAAAGAGGCTTCTCTCAAGCTCCTGTCTGGGCTTTGCACGGAGCCTCTCCTCCTCATGCACAGCAGATGAGTGAGGGCTTTTTTCCCCCACTGACTCAGGCCCTGCCTGTGGGCAGGAACAGGGTGGTGAAGGGCAACTATTTTGAGACCCAGCTGGTCCTGGCAGGGAGTGTATGACTCTTTAGTTTTCAGGTTGGAACTGTTCCTAAATCTGGTTGCAGTGTATTAGTGGTCGGTACTGTAGGCCTGATGGACGGCAGGGATGCCAGGCGCTGGGGTGGAGACACGGAAGTCTGCAGCCATGTGGTTCTTGGAAAGTGTGCAGGGCAAACAGTGCAAGGCGGCTCTGGAGCCGGGTGAATCGGCCTCTGTGTGAAGGCCTTACGAAAGGCACTGTGGGCTTGCATCATTCTTGCATGTCCAGCTGTACAGGACTGGGGGAAAGGCCCACACTAGCTCGGTGACGGAGACCTGAGTGACCCGTCTGGATGCTTGCTTGGGTCACCTCGGGCCCCTCTGTGGTCTGGTGAACATTCTGCTACGTGGAGGGTGACTCCAGTGTGGAGACACTTTCCCAAACACCTCATTGCAAAGCTAACTCCGTCTGGTGGTCACCTAAAGAAACGGGGATCGATTCTAACAGTGGGGAAACACTAGCAGTTTTCTATTTATTAAAAGATGATATGTACATGTTAATGTAACAGATGAATGCCATGCTCCTAGGGATGACTTAAGCCAAAGGTAGTGAGACATACATGTCGACCTCAGGCGAGCAGGACCTCTGCTCAGCCCTGGCTCTGCATGCCACCATATCCACGATGAGCTGTTGTAAAATACCATTTACAGCTCTTCCATCCTACAGCGTGGTGCTGTTAGAGGATACAAGTGCTGCTGCAAAATATCTGCAAGAGACACAAGACTTCAGAGTGCTAGAGGTTACTGATTAAGTTTAGTGTTACATGGCTGATGATTGTAATTGCTGTCAATAATTGTATACCTGCAAAGTGGTGTGGTAAGAATATTTACAACAACAACAAAAAGTAGCTGTTGAGGCTGTTTAAGTACAACCAAAAACAGGATTAGGTTCCTTGGTTGGAGCTTTATGGTCATGGTTTCGTGGGACATCCCAGTTTACTGATCCCAGTTCATTGGCCTAATAATGTGTTTAGTGCTTCTCTTCTTCCTCCTTGTTCGTTGAGTAGTGGCTGAGATCTTAAAAGTGCAAGTGGCCGTCGAGGGCACAACAGTTGGTCTCTATTCAGCTGAAGCAACAGAGGAAGGAGGAGAGTTGGGAGTACTATGTGGATGTGGAATGTGTAGCTAACGGCCTCCATGAACAATAGCCTCTGGCATAGGATTAGAAGAACTGGATGGTGCCTGGCTACTATCACTGAACATTTCGATCAAAGATTCCATAGAAGAATCCTGATGAGAGGAGGGGAAATGCAGAACAAAATACCAAGTCCTGTGAACCCCAGACTTTCTGGAGCCATGGAGGGTGGATGAACCCCTGATATTATTGCCCTAATCTTTAAACCTTAAACCGGAAACATCCCCTGAAGTCTTAAAACCAAACAGTTGTTACGTGCTGTCGAGTCGGATCCGACTCACAGTGACCCCTCCCCTTGGGTTTCCGAGGCGGTATCACTACGGAAGTAGATTGCTCAACCTTCTTTCTGAGGAGTGGCTGGTGGATAGTTCAGCTAAACTAGTAAAAATGGTCTGCCTTGTGCATTGTATTCTTTTAAGAACCATCTCTATGGGATCAAATTGATGACAACAGCTCAAAAGATAAGATAGGAACCTTGGGGGCAGTGAGTTTATGTTAATGTGGCATGAACCCCTTGGAAAAGGACTATGAGAATGGTTGCCCACCTTGAAGAAGGTCATCAGTGGTACATGTAGAAACTGCTGAGTTGGTGTATGTTTTGCTGTGGGTATTTTCAACAACCACAAAGTGCTAGCAGTTACTGCCCAGCGGTGGAGGCCTTCCTCTGGTGAAGAGTTGCTAGTCGTCTGTGGCCCCATGGAGTGGGCCGCCTTGTTTGGCCTGAACCTTCGCTCTGGGCAAGAGCAGTGCTGCTGAAGCAGCGGGTAGACCAGACAGCAATGCGTGCTCTTTCCAAATCGGCCGGTCAAGGACACTAGTGACCTTGAGCTTTTGGCAGCAGGTGATGGAGCTGTATGACTTTCCCATAAGGGGCAAGTCTGGTCCTCAAGACGGCTGAAGAGGGCAGTGATTCCAAGCCACGTGTCTTCTCTTTTTACTTGCTTAAGTTCCCAGTAGCACATTGATTATCTGCACCTTTGTCTTTGTGGCTGACATAGGACTTCAGGGTGTAGGCTCTCTAATATACTGTGGGCCAGGAACTTGATTCTGCTACTCTGACAACAGGAGTAACACCCTCCTTCTAACATTTTAAAGCAAAATGGCCCTAGATATGCTGGGCCTGTCAACCCAGCTGCAGCCCAACACCAGTGTCTCATCAGGGCTCCTAGGTCTCCCCTTTCACGGCGAGTGTGTTGTTTGGCCTTCCCTCATCGACAGGGCAGAAGTAGTACCGGTCCCTGGTTCACCCTGAATGTGCATGTGTTGAATGGCACCAAAGAACCTATGACTCGCAGACCCTTGATAAATTGAGTGATTTTATTGATAAATTATTGCAGGAAGCCACACATGCTAGCAACAGTAACTTAAAATCAATTAAAACAGTACAGTAACTATGGGGGAGCCCTTTTCCCGTAGGATGTAATTGATAAGTAACTGATGACAGAGGTCAGTGGGCTGGAGCGACGGGCACTGTTCTGGCCGTGTAGCAAGGGCACTGATGATGGAGAAAACGGCTTGGTCTTCAGGAGGAAGGGGGCCTTGACTCCTGAAGTGGGATCCTCAGGGGTGCGTTCTTTTGAGTGCAGCATTGCTTAAGCTGCTGGGGGCCGACGTTTAGAGACATGTGGGCATCTTCCCTCCCCTCGAGGGACCCACCATCAGGCAGGCAGTTACTGACTTGTTTGGACCTCTCTGTACGACCTAGTACTTTGTCCTGGGAGTGAGCTACTCATGGTGTCCAGAGGAAAACACCTTCTGTCGATATAACTGCCGTGGCCTTCGCTGCAGGTAGGGGCTCCCTGACACGACAGGGCTGAACATGTTTCCTCCCTCCTAAGTGGCTAAGGCACTTGACTGCTAACCAGAAGGCTGGCAGTTCAAACCCACCAACCACTCCTCGGAAGGAAGGTTGGGCAATCCTACTTCCATAGTGATACTGCCTCGGAAACCCAAGGAGGGGTCGCT